TTGAGAGGATCTATTGGCAGAAAATGGAATATAAATTCATAGTAATGTTTTATTGTCGTTAATCAAGACCCTGGAAGTAAGCAACTCCGTGAGAGACTGCATGTTGGAGCTGCATGTTTCTACAGTAGCCATAAACAGACAAACCAATACACTGGCAACAGATAAGGGCCTTTCAGGCATTTCTGGCGCGTTTCACGGCCACTGTATTGCTCCCTCCATGCCTCTGGTATACAAGTGTGTTGCATTCTTTAAAGCACACTGTAGATGTCACTAATATCCTAACAGCAGGGTTGGGGATTTTCTTTTCCGATCATTGGACAAAATATCCATATTAGCCTTTAGGCATATTGTAATTCAGGTGGTCCTGAGTAAAATATTTTCACCTTAAATGTTGGGAATCAAAGGTATTTCAGAGACAGCAGGTTGTTCCTATTGGCTTTCTACAAATGCACTGCACGTCCCTGCAGATGGTGGAAAGAACATCATTTAATAGTGATTCATATTTGCAGCTCCTTTGCTTGCAACAGCATAAAACACACGTCCCGGCTTCACAGGAGAGCCTTCAGGTTCTTATGTTTGATTGGGGCTTTTTTGGGTTCGGATCGATGAGTGGCAAAGAGTGTGGTTGTGCGTGGTGTACTAGCTCTCATCCCTCTGTTAGACCAGGTGTAGAACCCGACAAGCTCAGGAGAACTTTGGTTTTTTGCTTCTAAACTTGGTGATCAGCAGTCGGCAGCACAGACTTTGTTGGTTTAAGTTTGCCAAGCAGCACTAGACAGTGGAAGTGGTGAAAAGTCCTGAAAGAAGAAATGCTGAGACAGACTGAACTGGGTGGCGGAATGCAGTGACTCATCACGCAAGGTCTGCAGGGCTCTGCAGTTGAATCAAGCATCAGACTCTCTATCAAAGCAGGGGATTCAGTGAACTCCTGCCAGCATTCACTGCATGATCTAAACTTCACTTGAACTCAAGCAGCAACCCAGCCAGCCGGCTCAGTGCTCAATGTTACACACTGTACCTTTAACAGAACCTCTGTATTATTGATATAGTATCATTTCAAGCAAAACACAGTTATTAAGTAAATCAGAATTCAGACAACATGGCAATGGTCAAGGAAAGAACAAAAGGAGAAGGGCAGCATATAGCCTATTGTTAAGGAGAGGTGATTTCACCTGACGGGGGCATTTCGTCTCCAGGCAGGAATGCTTGTGTTCATCCTGCCTTAGGTGACCTCTTGATAGAGACTTCTGACAAAAATGACCCAACTAACAGACTCACAGAAAACCTGGTACATCGTAGTGTTCTGGAAAAAGAGCACTGGTTGCTTTTGAGGGTTCAAGGTTAACTATGAATCTATGTGCTGTGCACGCTGTACATGATGGGCCCTTTCATACACAGTACACTGAGAACAAGAGGAATCTATCTCTATCAGTCTCAATATGAGGTGCGATTAATGGAGGCACCTTGTAAAATGGAAACACTTAACTTTAAGTCTCCCTATTTAGCATTTATTAGCAGTATATATACTGACAGAAGTGTTCATTAATGTGTTTAATTGTAACTCCTTCTGTCTGCATCCATAAATGGAAGTCTTTATATAACTGTTGACCAATACTGTACCTGATACTGTGTATCAATAATAATCAACAATAATCAACCATAAAATGTCTTTATGTCTGTTTACAACTCTTTATAATGTGTTTTACAGCTTTTACTAAATATTTGTATGCTAAATTGGGCTAAATAGGGCACTTAAAGGAGCGTGTATGTGCTAAATTTATGTGATACTAGTGTTTGGAGTAAAGTAAGACCTGTTTAGACAAATAGGCCAGATGATGGCCTATATTGTTGCTCTGGAGTAGTAATGCTCATCTATTCTTTAATTTCCTCAAATTACTTTATTTGTTTGTTCTAGATTCTAACCAATCCACCAATTTTACATGTCAGTGAGTTTACTAATCCCTTCTGTGTCTCTGAAGGAGACTTTGTCAAGTCCAAGAAAATAACCCTGATGATGTCAAAGTGATCATCTCAGCTTGGGCTTGAGTCTACGCATTTATAACAGAAAACTGAGGTTTCAGCAAAGCGTTTGAAAGGAACCTGTACCTGAGCCATCTTGAATTTGTATCTTCCTGCCCTGGACTCTGTTGCTTCTGTTTGGACTTTTTCTACACATGCCAGTAAGCTCATATAACTGTATTTGTGTCATTAAAGGTCCACTGTACAACATTTAGGAGGATACTGTCAGAAATGGAGTACAATATTCACAGCTATGTTTTCATTAGTGTATAATTACCTGAAAATAATAATCATGTTTCGTTACCTAAGAATGAGCCGTTTAGAGATACAGATACAGACACTGTGGGACACCTTCTCACCTTCTCTCTTCATCTGCCATGTTTCTACAGTAACCCAGAATGGACAAGCCAAACACTGACTATAGATAGGGCATTTTGAGTTTTTCGCAAGTTTCGCGGCTACCATAGTTTCTCCTACTCAATTCACAGCTCATTCTCATTCCCAGGTCATCAAGTACAGAAGTGAGCCATGTTCAGTTAGTTGCAATCTGACACTTCGCCACTAGATCTCGCTAAATCCTACACACTGGACCTTTTAAATTCCTGAACGTTTCCTGTCTGTGATTAATCTGATTTTGTCTTTCCTGACCCGTGACACAAATACCATGACAAATACCACAACCAGAACCAGCACACCAGCTCCAGACAGCGATACATCACAACCGCAGCATATCTTGGAAAACTAGCTAAATGTTGTGTTGTATGTTGTAAGGTGACATCCTCAAATGTCTTGTTTTGTCCACAGCCCAAAGAGATTCAGTTTACTGTGATAGAGGACTAAAGAAAGCAAAAAATATTCATATTTGAGGAGCTGAAACCAGAGAATTTGGACATTTTTTCTTTAAAAAATGACCTTAAAACAATGAATTGATTATCAAAATAGTTGGAAATTAACAGTTGACAGCTTATCGGTTAATGGTTGCAGCTCTACAACACACATAAGCAACTTCCTGAGACAATATGTGCAGCAGTGCACAGTGCAGAAACTTATTAAACATGTACACCACCATAAAGCAGTAGCAGTGAACACTGAGCATCCAAGGTGTTGGATATGGTATACTGAAGGGAACAAATTTGCTGTCTTCAAGATTTTGGATGGTGCATTTTTTATAATTATTGCAGGGACAAATATCTATATTTTATGTCATCTGTTCTACCTTTGGACTAAGTGTTTGCATAATACTATTTATTGTTAGTGTAGCATGTTTTGACAGTCACACAAACCAGCTCAGAAGGCTGTCTTTTCTCCCACTTGAAAGAGTAACCATCTGAGTTGTGTTGATGCCGTGAATCCCACCCACCTGGTACTCCAAGCCCTTTAAATCAACTGTGGCCTAATTGTCACTGTTCAGATCTACTTTGATCACTTCTCCCTCTTTCTATCTATTCTGTCAGCTTTTCTTTGAGCTGTCCCAGTCTCTCTTTCTCTCTCTCTCTCTCTCTCTCCTGTGTCTGCTCGTGTTGAGGTGGCCCTGCTCTCCATTGTTTGTTCTCTGTGACGAGTTTCCCTGGAGTTCTGCTTGTATGCAGCGCGTGCGTGTGTGTCTGTGTTCCTCTGTTTGTGTTACATGTGTGTTTTAGTCTGTTGCATTGCTGCAAACGGGGTCAACAGTGTATGACGAAAGCATGGACCGGCCTGATGTGCAACTGTTGGCCTGTACAGGGGGATTGGCAGCGTGCCGGCATGTCATTAGTCATGCATGACGTGGCAGAGCTGAGTCTTGCCGTGGATGTGATGGAGAGGACGTGGTGTACCAACGCCCCCCCTAAAGTGTTGCTTTAGCCAAAGGCTGTCATTCAGAAGCCTGAAAGATGGAGTGAAAGTGGGACAGAGACAGAGTGGCTGTGTCATGTTCAACACTTCTGTCTGTCTTGTTTTTAACTTTTAAGTATGAGTAAAGATCAGTCTTTTATACCTGTTTTATCCCCAAATAAGCTTGACATATACACATCTAAACAGCAATTATCTGTTATATAATATTAGTTTTATAATATTAGTAGAAGTAGTTGTACTAGGTGTACTATTATAACTATATTATCTTTTTTAAAACTATTTTAACTTGTTTAAATTGCTTGCTCTTGCTTTTGACACATTTATTTCTTTTAGTGATAAATAGACTGAAATGTTGTATGGGAGTCACACAGCAGATTCTTAACAGTCTTAACAACACCAAGCTCAGCATAAGTATGACTGAAGCTAAAACATGTAAGCCTTACTCTCTCTAGTGCCCAAACAATGCAAAAGAAAAATAAACTTGAGCATTTTGAAAATCATCTTATTGATATTTAACTGTATTTACTTTTTCTAAGATCACAATCTAAGTAATCATTGATTTTTATGTCAAAATCTAGTGCTGTGAAATGTTATTTTGTGTCTAGTTACAACACATGGATGGACGCATGTCGTTGAAAAGAAACATACACGTGTCATTCCAAATAGACGCTCAGAAAATGTGGAAAGTAACACATCCTTTTCAAGCGTGCCTGTGTGTGTGTGTGTGCGTATTAAGTGTATGCACATTTGTGGTACTGAGCTGCCAGCTACCCAGTGGGCATGCATGGCTTGTGTTAAGCTGCTCAGAGAGTGTACAGACCGCTGTCTGTGTGTGTAGTGCAGCTCTTCTCAGGACGGTGTATCCTCGTGTGTTCATCTCAGTCTTTGTCCGGCCTGCTGCTCGCAGACTGACGTGCTTTATCATCGGGGTGATGTGAAGCTTTCTCGGGGTACAGAGTGTCAGCAGGGTCCTGTCCTGGTCAGAAGAGCCCGATAATGAACCCAGCAAGAAAATCACAAAACACTGGTTCCAGAATACATTATGTAGACTTGAACTGGAGCCGGTTCCTTTATACGATTAGCTGTAATTTTCGGTTTACCAGACATGTTATCTAAATTGATGCAAAAGCACAGCCACATGAATTGTATTTGGTCAAGTACACTTGTTCGATTGTATTAGATTCTCGACACATAAATATACATGCAGAACTAGGCAGGTTCAAGTAGATTTAATATACAGGACAGGAAGTTACTGTACATTTTTATTGTCTTGTTGATTCTACAACTTACAATTCAATTTTTTACATTCTTTCTTATTATAAAATTTTATACGATGACAACTTTAAATTGATTTTAAACTTTTGTAGGATTTTCTGTTGGGTTCCTGCAGAGCATTTTGTCCAGGCTCAAGGTTATGGAATGTTTTTACCTTATCCACCTGGCTGCCATAATTGATTTATGTCATACTCAGTGTTGGGAAATAATACCTATAGCAATAGGAGACATTAATGACCAAGACAAGAAGTCTTTGGGCAAAAGTTTATCCATATTCTCTAATTATTTTTGATATGCAGAATAATTGATAATAATAACTAAAAATATCTAAATAAATTCAAGTAGAAAGTTGATTGAATAACTCAAGATTATGTGGATTCCCTCCAAATTATTCTGCTAATCAGTTATTACAAGCTTCTATAGTATTGATAATGAAGCAATATGCTCATTCTACTTGTGCTTCTTTGGCAATGAATGTTAATAAAGGTTTTGTCTGCTGTCTAAATTCATGTCACTTTTTTTTAAATAATAGTTATAATCTGCCAGAATTTACATTGGGATCATTATTTTGTTTTTTTAAACCATTAACTGAATATTTAGTGTGAATTCAATTGTCACTTTAATCCAGTGTCAAACATCTTTGCTGATGATCTGATGATTTAAAATGAAGGGAATAAAAGGCTTTCCAACCTGAGTATGACCTAAATGAAACATGGCTGCCATTTGGAAAAGTCCAGTAGGCTCCTCTGCCTTGTGCATGTGAGGCATGGTTTCTACGGCCCTCCTTCATGCTTGCTCTCTGTCTCTCTGCCCCTTTATTCTCTTCCTGTCAGATCCCTGTTTATCTTTCTGTCTGTTTCATTCCTCCATGTTTTGGTGAAGAAGCATGGTATTACATGTGCTTGTCAAAGGCTTAGCAGTTTGGAATTTCAGGTGCTATGGGTCAAGCTATATGAATGTAAAAAAAACGTAAGCCGATATATGATTTAAGATGGGTCAAATGATACTCAGAAATCATTTTAGTGTTTTGTTTTAGATAGGATGGGTGCAGGTCACCACACAGGACAACCAATTAGGACAAACTGTTCATTATATCGAAACAAAATGCAGCCTGTGAAAACCTGAATTGTCCTAGTGTGGTTAACCACCACCCACCTACACCAAGAGTTATTTGTTACTGCTGTTTGACCCAGGTCAGATATTGTCATTCAGTAGGAACATATACACACATGAATGCACAATCTGACTGACATTCCACCATATGCAGCTCTGTATTAGTGTCATACACTCATTAAAAGTCAGCAAAGTGAGTGTTGAGAGTGTCGTCCTTCTCGCAGCTGAGGATGGACTCCACCAGTCAGGATGCATTAAATCTGACTTCTTTTCTCCTCTTTCTTTCTCTCTCCCCCACTATTTTTTTTTATCTCTTTTCTCCTCATCTTATCACATCCTCTCCTACCTTATGTTCTACCTATCTGCCTGTCACTCTCCCTGTCTATATTTCCTTCTCCTTCGTCCTCTCAGACCATCACTGACACCAGTCCGATGCGTCGCTCCACCTCCAGCTTGGTCCACGGGCGTACGGGCCGGGGCGTGAGGCTGGACGACTACTCCCTGGAAAGGGTGGTGTCTGAGGAGGGGAGACACGGAGGGCGCAGACACAGGGACAGGAGTCACCGTGCCTCGCAGCGCTCACTGACCAGATACACCGACGCAGACACGGGTGAGTCACTCATAGTGGACATCTATACGCTACCTTTAATGCCCACCTAAAATCTGAAAAGCTTCTGCACATCTACAAGTAAATTCTATTACTAATCTATTTACTTACTGTGGGTTACAGTTGAAAGTAATGAATGTCTGTTTGAGAGCAGCAGCATAGCTCTTGAACAGATAAGTGGTGTGGCTGTAGGGCAGTGTCTGTCTGTCTCTTAACTTAATGTAATACTTGGGACCAGAGACCACAGTGGCTTCAGAAATAGATGCAACACACCCTATCTGTAGTGTTTGGTTTGTCCGTTTTGTGTTACTGGAGAAACATGGCGGTTCAACATGGTGGTCCTAAAAGAGGACCCGCTCTCTCTGTAGGTAAAAAAGGCTCATTCTTAAAAAACAGCTCTTATTTTCAGGTGGTTATACACTAATGAACATATATCTATAATATATTGCACTTCTGCCACTAGATCCTCTTAAATGTTAGAGACTAGACCTTTAAAAATGAATGCTGGAATCACACATTTGCATGCTAGTGTTAAAATTTGCACATGAAATTACACAATGTGACCCTCACTTTAAGGGCTAATGCTAAATGTTCTATGTTATGCTAACATTAGTGTTGGTTTTAGCATTAGTATGTGGCATTTTAATGAAATGGTAGTATAACATAGGCTACTTGTCCTGTTCAGCTGTACCTACTAGGATTAAGAGTATGAATATTCACATGCATGTGTTATCATAACACATTAACATGATAACTGCAGGGATGTTAACAAGCTATGTTACAAAGTACAACATAGGCGTAACATTGAGCCAAGTCTGAAAATGTTAAGCTGAGCCTGACAAGTGTGAGATGTCCTAAAATGACCACTATACAGAGGATAATCAGACACTGTAGAAACATGCATTGCTGTCTTTCTAAATGTTTTTTGATACCACCACTCAGGTGGTTCAGAAAGAGGTCCATCTCATGTTCTCCTATGAGGCGTGTTTGCAGGAGCACAAGTTCCTGTTAAATTATTTTCCAAATCAGTGACCAGACAAATCAAAGCTAATAAGAAATACTAGTTCTTAAAGAAATAAATGTACACAGCAGTACACAGTCGTTGTGTCTTTGGAAGTGCAACATGAACACAATAGGCAGTGTTGCTTTACAGCTTGGTCGAGGGGCAACTCAAAAGCAGTTGTTGAGGCAATTAAGAGCAATCTGTGCATTATTGAGCTAAGAGAGCAGAGTTGTCATCATATTCACTAAATTTATGCGAGTCAAGTCTTGGCACAAAGAAGTCCTTGAGAAGAACATTGTGCAAGCAGATAGCCCACTTCTTACTAATTGCGAGTGCAAATTGCATGCTTCAGCTGTAAAACTAATGTAACAAGGCTGGCACAGTTAAACTCTAAATCCCCTTTATAATTGGAGAGCTCTCTAATCTGATGGAGGAGACTCCTCTGCTTTCCAGACTCGGTAGTGATGATGGAGTTTTAAATTAGTTTTCTTTGCTCTACATTTGACTGCACAGGTGTAGTGGATTCTTGCGTGATAGGCATTTCAATTTTTTCCCCCTTCTTAAATCTGGTACTTCAATTGTTTTGGCGTGTTTTCATTTTCATTTAAATCACTTTTTCCCATATGAAAATCATCTATCTGCTAAAGTAACTTGTGGGACATGTTTTAATCTTCATTTATGTGTCCTAACCTCAGGTAGCTGAGGTCATGACAAAAACAACTAGTGATGTAGTATTTACAAATGTAAACTGAGACATCTCCTTGCTAGGCCTGGGCACAGACCTGAGCACCACCACGCAGTCGGGCGACCTTCCACCCAAGGAACGCGAGCGAGACCGCGGCCGGACCAAGGATCGTCGTCACCACCATCATCACCATCACCATCACCATCATCAGAACCGGGGGCATCATGGAAATCTGTATCAGCACCGCTCAACTCCCCGTGAACCCTGACGAGTCTGTTCATTTGGCCATGGGGTCAGGAGGTTTTAGGGATAAGTTGTTTGTGTTTTAATCCATGAAACTCGGGGTGAATCAGAGTTCACGCTGACCCGAAATCTGTCCACTGCGCTAACGTTATCCAAACCACAGATTAGATTTTAATTTTAAAATATATGTCACGTTCAATTTTATTGACTTGTTTTATTTTACATAATATATAATATTATATAATATATTATGCACAAGCCCTTTACATAACATATATATCGCCATTGTCTGGGGGGGAAACCTTGTATGTCCAAAACCGTTACTTTTCAGGAAATGACAAAAAAATTGTGTTTTTACAATAA